CCTCCCTAGGGCGAATTAAGAATTGAGTCCACCTTTCTCTCCAACCGTCATAATTTCTAAATCTCCAATTGGCCCTTTTTTAGGTCGTCTTGTATTTCCTAGTAATCCCCATCTCTGCTCGTTTGCAACCATTTCGCAACCCACATACCCCCACCTCCACAGTATATAAACACACGCAAACCAAAAAACAAAAGATTCTTAACAAAACGCTTCAAAATCATAAAACTATTGTATCCCCCGACCCTTGTTGTCCAATTTCCCCTCCCCTAGACGATACACCCACTTCCATCAAACACAGCCATGGAGTGCTACACTGCACCCGTGCACCATCACCAAGACAACCTCAACACCTCCAAAACTTATCTTAAACCACACCGAAAGACATCTACCCGTGTCTTTCTCAGAGCATGTCCACAAGTGACCTGTCCAGAATCGTCACTCTCGATAGCGTTCGCTCCCTAGCGTCTCCTGCAAACCCGTCTAAAGCCGTGTGGAAGGACCTAGGTGTATACTTGGATAAGAAGCTTGACTGGCACTTGGACCACAACAACTCGAAGGCGTCCCTGAACACCGTTCTTTACAACTCACTTTCCGAATCCTCCTACCTTTCTCAGGTTTCAAAGTACCAAATCTGCAAAAGCTGTGGCCGGCCCATAGGCGAGGAATCTTTGACTACACACTACGAGCGTTGCTTGGAGATGAAACAGAAGAAAGCAGAAACAGAAAACGGCGCTGCTTCGCTGGCGGCTACCAACAAGAGAAAGAGGGGAAGAGCCGCTTTGAACGATGCCTCCTCGGTAGACCTGTCTAGAATGGCGCTGCCTGCTCCAGCGACTCCACAGGGTCTGCAACTGAAGGACCAGCCGAGACCCAAGAAGAAGTATAAGAAGTCTCAGATGCAGAAGGAGAAGGAGGCTGCCAATGCTGCCGCTGCCGCGGCTGCTGCTGCTGAAGCTGCTGCTCAAAGAGCTAATAACCAGCAGAAGAAGAAGAAACAGCAGAAAACCAAGGCCCCCACCAAGGCCAAGGGCCCCGTCGATGTTGAGAAACAGTGTGGTGTGCCTTTACCCATGGGCGGTTTCTGTGCTCGTTCGTTGACATGTAAGACCCACTCGATGGGTGCAAAAAGAGCTGTTCCTGGCCGTTCAGCTCCATACGACGTCTTACTACAGCAATATCAGAAGCGTAACCAGGCCAGAATGGCCCAAAACAATGCTTTGGCTGCTCAGAGAAGGGAGAATGCTCAACTCTCTGGAATGGCCGGAGTGGAAGGTGGAGAAGGCGGTGCTGGCAGTCTCCCAGTGGTGCTTGATCCTGATGAAGAGACTCATTTGGTTTTGGAGGGTGTGTCCAAGAGTGCCCCTGTGCCGTTAGAGCGCAAGGTTATGATCCCCACTAGAAACAGGCACCGTTTCCTCAGTATGAGAGAGGCATACGCCAACGCTTTAATCACCAACGGCGCTTCTGCTGCAGATTCGCTGTCTTCGCTGGGTGACCTCACTTTGGCCAACCAGGCGATTTCAGGCTCCATTGGCGGTCTTCAAGGCAGATGTGCTCTTGTCAATGTTGATGCACCTTCCGCCTCAGAAGGTCAAGCATCCACTCAAACCAGCGCTGCTATTCCAGGTGAGCTCTACCACGTGAGAACAGCCCTGAAGGCTATTGCTACAACGGCCCAGTACAACTACCAGCAACAAAAGCAATTCCAGCAACGTGTGTTTGAGCTTCAACAGCAGCAGCTTAAGCAAAGACAGATGATGCAGCAGCAGCAACAACAGAGACTGCAGTCACAGCAGGGCTCTCAGCAGCGTCAAGTTCCAGCACAGTCTCTGTGAGCCGCTGGTGTGTAATATATGTATAGTAGACGTGTGTCCTTGGGTATTAGCGATGAGATGTAGATTTGCTAAGTTTACAATTACTTCAGTGATGCTATATGACTATATTGCCGTTTTGGCACTTTTTATTATGCAAATGCCGTATTCATGCTGATCGGCTTCGTGATGTGACTAATTGGTGGACTTCCAGTGAGGACGGTGCTTCTCGATCCATGGATGGCTGGCAACATCGGCCAATGCAAGTCGCTGGCGAGGGTTCTTCTGTAAAAGCTTGGTGATGAAATCGGCAGCCTCTTCGGACAAGAACCCCGGGATTCGTAGGTCCACACGTGCAATTCGTTTATACGTGGTGCCTTTGTCGTCGTCTTCAAAAGGCGGCCTGCCAACCAAGAACTCGTACGCCAAAACACCCAACAGCCATATATCAACGCCAAAATCATGAGAGCGAGACTCGACCATCTCGGGTGAAAGGTAGTCCAAGGTTCCACAAACAGTGAGTCTCTTTTGGGTCAACGGATCCAGCTTCACGGACCAGCCAAAGTCGCTGAGTTTCACGTCGCCCAAGTCCAGAAGCAAGATGTTTTCTGGCTTGATATCCCTGTGGATAACATTGTGAGAGTGTAAGTACTGGAGGCCCTGGGAGACCTGGAAGATGTACTTTGATGCGGTGATTTCGTCGAAACGGCGCCGTGTTTTCAATAATTGGTACACTTCGCCGTACAACGCGTACTCTAGAATCAAGTAGACGTTTGTGTCGTCGTAGAAGTAGCCGTATAAGCGAGATACATTGGGGTGGACTAGATCTCTCTGGATCTCAATTTCTCTCCGTAGATTCTTCTCTAGCTTCAGATTGACCAAATCTTTTTTGCTCATGGCCTTAATGGCACACACGAGTCCCAGTTCCCGGTGTTTCACGCAATACACCTTGCCTAGCTTGCCCTTGCCCAATACCTTGCCAAACTCAAAGTCGTCTAGCAGGAGTTTTTTGCACTTTGGCGGGGTGGCGGGCAATTTTGCAACGGCATAGTCGACAAAAGGCGACTTTCCCTTTTCACTGCTGCGCTTTGTATTGAGCAGAACCTTCAGTAAAGGTCGCCGGGGCAGCATGTTGTGGTTTGTTAAGTGGTGAGGTCGCTTAACTATGGAGGATGTGGTGGTGTACGGGTTTCACGCGTTAAGTAAACAAACACCGTTGAAAAAGTGAGCCAAAGTGGTGAGGTGCTTCTATAGAGTACGCACTGGGGTCCCATTGTAGGTGCCCCTGAATTAGGGCCACAATTTTTCAGACTAGCCTATATCCGAAAAAATTGACATTTGACGAGCGCCCTCCTGTTTCCCTTTTTTTCCTTTTTTTCCCTCTCCATTCTGCCACGTAACCGGTCGCCTCGTACAGCTTCTTATTTGGGCTTGTATGGAGGCTACGGTCACGATAAGCTCTGAGGCTGGAGGCTCAGCCACCACTTCGGTGACATGATTGGTCGAAAACGTCACAACTGGCTGAAAAGAAATGAGTTTTTTGTGAGGACCAAAATATGTGGGGTCCCGAGGATCACGCCTGTCGGAGTCAAGCAGGGAGTCAGCCGGGGGCGAAGGATGGGGCTATATTTGGCATGCAAACAGGGTCACCTTTTAGGGATCAAGCAGGCAAAAAGCCGATCCGGGGTAAACTAACGTCCATGTATGCAATGCCTTGCAGGATGTTCCTGGCAGCAACTGGCGATGAGAATCCGGGGTCATACCTCAGGCCATCGGCGGCGGTATTGTCTTTTGAGGATAGGTTATTTCGAAAATGCTTCGAAACGCCAGTAATGTAAAGGCTTTTCTTCCCCTAGAGGAAATACCGTTCCTGTGGCCCTAGGTGTGACTCAAGTGGGCCCCTCACTCCACCATGACACATTCCGGCTCCAGCCTCCCATCCTGACTTGAGCCTCTGAGTAGCTTCAAGTTGCTGATAAGCAAACTTCTGTAGTACCGCTCGATGCTGCTCGATCCCGTCGACGGCCTAAACAAGACAGCTTTACGGGTGTTCTCATGCACCATAGCCTCTTGTGCTTTTCCCCTGCGATGACCAGCAGGCGTCACAAAGCGCCATACAGTATGGCGAAGGAATCGTCCAGGAGGCCGTGGGGAGTTCCGAAACGTGACCGAGGAGCGGTTGTTCCGTGGATAGTGTAGGTACGCGGGTAGGTCGGCGAGAAGGGCGGCCTGGCGGGAAATAGGCCCGCTGGACATCAGAATATGGTACTTTCGGGGAGGCTGTATCCGCTAGACTCGACGGATTTCTGTAAAAGTGGGGCCAGGTGTCAGCGGGAATGGCTGCAAATGCTCGCTTTGTGGAAGCTTATCGGGAGCTGCGAGGAAAGATCAACAGCAGTAATCCGGCGTTTCTGATCAACGGCAAGGGCTAATCGGGGAAGCATATTGCGGAAGCAAATAGCCAAGGCACGTTATTACCAACGTGCTTAACCGCCTCACCCGGGCACCCAACGCAGCAGTGTAAGGCATCTAAAGAACACAGAAAATGCTGTATTTTCAGTAACTTTCTTCAAGATTTGTTTCAAACAATCTGTAAAACCTTCTGGCTCTTATTGGCTCTTATTGGCTGGAGGTCTGTACAAACCACCGGGTGGATTGGCCCATAGCAGACACACAGCTGGATGGATCTTCGGCTGGAAACCTTACCAACCAACCCGTACTGTACTTGAACGCAAAACCCCGTTATTTTCTGCTCGTCCTCGGCCTTCCTCGTCTCTCAATTCGTCTTGTTCTCTTCCACACCTCCATCGTCTAACGCCTTCTGACGACCTTGTCCAGAAATTTAACGACTTTTCAAAAAAACCAATCAAGAAAACCACACCCCCGTCAAAAGCCGACATATAACCAACCCGTCTTTGTTCGTTCTGCCTGAAACGTGTAGCAGGTCATTGTGCTTAGTACAGAGAAAGCCAGGCCCTACGCCTCGCCAGCACGCGCACCCGTACACCAGGCACACACACAGCCATTTATCAACATTCCCTACCACCTACTACTCCACGACTTTTTTTCCAACCTACCGTTCCCCTCCGCCCATAAATCACCATTCCCCAGCAGCCGATGTCTCACTCGGCATCCCCGACGAACCGCGGCCTGATATTCGGCTGGGTCCGCAACCTCAAGCGAAACACCATGCTGAATGACTCCGTCAACGAAGTGTCCGACTCCGATGGGCCTCTGGGTGAATCCCGTCTGCCCGCCCGCTCCGTGGCGTCTCCTGGCTCCTCACACGTGCACGGCTCTCATGGGCAACACACGCAGGGCCACTCCTTCAACCTAGGGTTCCATCATCTGCCCCAACATCACCACCAGAACAACCACCAGATGCCTCCGGCGCCGCAGGGGGCCATCCCGTTCCCACACGCGCTGCCGCTGCTGGACTTCTTGAGGCCGCTTTTGCATCACAAGCTGCGGCTGACCAACAATGTCAACCGGGTCCGGTCCAACCTGAACTCCACCAATCAGGCCCTGCTGTACGCCAATCTGGACTTGCGCCAGCACAGGGACAGTTTCTTGCAGAACAACCCGTTGGTCGACGAAAACAGCAAGTACTTTGGCGTGTCGTTGGCCGACGCCATCTCACAGGCCCTGGCCAAGATCTCCATATTGGGCGCCACGGCCGCTCCCAAGCTGGCCTCCGACGACGTGCTTCACTACGGCCGCATCCCCGTGGTCGTGGCCAAGTGCGGTGTCTACTTAAAGAAAAACGGCTTGAACGTCGAGGGCATCTTCCGTGTGGGAGGCGCCTCCAAGCGTATCAAGGAGCTCCAGATCATCTTCAACCTGCCGCCCGAGTTCGGCAAAAAGCTCTCCTGGGACGGCTACACCGTCCACGACGCCGCCTCCGTGCTTCGGCGCTACCTCAATGCCCTTCCTGAGCCGCTCATCCCACTACATCTTTACGACGAGTTTAGGGACCCGCTCAAAGCCCGTCCTAGAATCATCAAGTACATGCGCTACAAGGCAGAAAACCCGCTGAAGGTGCGTCTGAGCTCACAGGAAATGCTCCAAGCCCAGGCTAGCAGAGAACTGTCCCAAACAGCCATCTCCGACCCTCCTCAACCCCAGCAGTCCCAGCTGGCCCCACAAGCAAACCAACAAGAACAGACGACTCAACCAACGGCACCAGCTGCACTGGAAAAAGCCAGCTCCGAGGCCAAACAGGATAGTCCATTGCCCACTAAGGCTCAACGCAAAGCTCGTAACTACAAGAAGCTCACGCGAGACGTGTACGACGCCATTGACGAGTACAAGGAGCTCCTTGACGACGTGCCGCAGCTCCTGAAACAGCTCCTTTTCTATATCTTGGACCTCCTTGCCATGGTCCAAAGCAATGCCCACGAGAACCTCATGCTGGCGCGCAACTTGGCCGCCATTTTCCAGCCGTCCATTCTTTCCCACCCCAACCACGATATGGATCCCGAGGAGTACGCTCTCTCGCAATCTGTCGTCGAATTCCTTATACAATATGCCTACAAGCTCTTGCCCAACCAGGAGCAGTCCTCTCCGGAGCCTGCGACACCAACACCAATAGATACCCGGGCAAGCCCGAAGGCTGAGGCTAAGCCGGCAGCGGCTTCATACCTCAACTCACGCACCAGTGGTAGACAGCACAGCCAGTCACTACTGTCGCCAAACCCAGACGACCTAGACCTTATTGGTTTCCGCAACACCACCGCTCCAGGAAGAGGCGTAACGCTATCTGACACGGAGCAAGATTTTGCCTCTGGCTCCAGCGACGACGAATACGTGTCTGATGCTGGCCAGCGGCGCCCTAGACAGGCAGAGGTGCCCAATCTTCTCTACGTGGTGAATGCTGATGCCAGCGACGAAGCAGCGAGTGGGGGCTACGAATCACGCGGGTCGTCCAAATTGTCGCCTCCCATCATCGTTTCTGAGGCGCCCCAGGGGTAGCGCAAGCAAGATTTTTTATTTCCCGGCCGTGGGCCCCCGGCCCTGTGTATGTGTATGTAGATTATAGTTATGTGGATACAAAGTTGCAGCCAAAATGTATGTTGGATACTGCATGTATCTAAGGTAGTCTCATACCGAGGCTCTTCCTCATGCCAAGAGCGTTGGATCAATGTTCCTAATCTTCTGGATATATATGAGAGCGCATAGCCACGCTTCCTCTCAATGATACAAGTTACTTTCTTCCTCAGTACATAGCTTAGTCCTGGAATACTACAGTTAACTCTCTAGCATGAGTCTGGGAACTCCTATGTACAGTTTGCTTCCTGCAGGCAAACCAGTTTCCTTTCATCTTTATAAAGAAGGTGGAACTTTAGCAAACCAAAGTACAGAGGTGACACTCCCATTCGTGCTTGAACAGAAAGAACTATACCCAATATGGTTTAGAACTGTGGTGACTAGCAGTTGCTTCAAGAAGAACCTTCCACTTGAGAAACCGTACTTCATCACGTACATGTACGACCCAGCCAAAGCTGAACAACTATTCGAGAAAGTTGACGAAGCTGAAGCAAATAAGGTCAAAGCTAATGTCGAAGCAATCAGCGAGAAACTTTTGGAAGAGGCCATTGATACCAGATTCAAATCTGGACTCGTTGATGAATATGGCATCGATGCTATCAAGAGAATTCATGAAGTAATGTGCCAGAGTGACTTAGAACTGTGTCAGGAGTACTATGCCTTCTTTTCAAAGGCTCTCCATGGCAAACGTCAGATACCCGAAACTGACGCCGTCATGCAATCTTCCTATTTCATTCAGAAAGTTCATAACTTTACCTACTTGGAACATTTCGGAATGAGGAAGATGGCATCCTTCCCGGACAAACATCGCTACATCACTAAGGCAATCTTACAAACGTTGGGTGTCGAGACCTTGGACCTCAAGAAGATGATCTACGATAGTTGTATGAGCAGAGAAGGATTCAATCAACCGGAACCGTACTGGGCATTCACTGATGTTAATCCAAAGCAGCCCGGGGAAAAGTCCGAAGAAAATGCTACCATCAACAGGGTCAAGTCCAAGTGGTGCTGGAAATGCGAAACCGACACTCACTGGTCCAAGAATTGTCGGAAGTTGAAGAAACGGAAGGGTAAAGGCGATGACCAAAACAATGGCCAAAATGGCGGCCAGGGCAATGGCCAAGCCCCCAGACCTAAGAGACAGAAACAGGACAACAACAACCAATCTATCAATAAAAGTGGCCCATATTACAATGTAGGTCCAACTACAGATTTCATTTGGGATTCTGGGAGTCCAATCCATGTTACACCACACTGGGAACTTCTCTATGACTTTGTCCGGAAACCTACAGTCTTTTATGATTTTGGTGTCAATAAGTACACCGCGGTGGGCTACGGCAAGATTAGAATGGTTCTTATGACTGGAGACGCTGTCGTCTTAGATGACGTCTACTACATCGACCAAGCACTGTCAAACATTATCTCTGCATTCAGAGGCATTCGAGACTTTACCGTTCACTATGATGACCGCACAAAAACGCTCAAGAATGAACAGGGTGCTGCTTTTGGACAGGGAATACTGCCAGGTTACTTCAAGATCTCGGCAACCCCTGAGATCTCCAAACATCCCTATAATGCTTTGACAGAATTGGAAGCGCAGCACATTACTGTGAACCATGCTCGGCTAAATCAAGTATCGCTTAACGGCGTCCAGTCAGTGGATTTCAAGACTTCAGCGACCTACAAAGACGAAGACATGATGAATCATATTCGCCTGGGACACATGAATCACCAACAGTACCTAGCGCTACAAAAGGAGTATCCACATCTACCAGATATTCCTAGGGACATACGCAATCATTGCCGGTCTTGCCAGGTCAGTACTATTACGAACTACCGCAAGTCGCGGGTCACTGAGCGGGTCCCAACACGTCCGTTAGAAATTATCCATGCGGATGTTTGTGGTGAAATCAGCCCAGGTGGAATATTCAAGAGTGAGAGATACTTCCTCATTGTTGTCGATCGCTTTACAGGCGTATATCATGTTACTCCCCTTCAGCGGAAGGAAGACACCATTCAGGCCCTTTGGTGTACTTTGACTGAATTGATCCGGGATTTTCCTGGATGCCGCATAGGTGAGATCAGAGTTGATAATGGTACGGAGTTTCAGAGTAGACTTCTCAATGATGGCCAGTATATCAGTCTTAACGAGGCTGGCATCGTGATGCAGTTTACCACTCCATACAACTCCCACCAAAACGGCACTGCCGAACGCGCCATTCGAGCCGTTCTGGCAAAGTCTCGCGTCCTTTTGTCTCAAAGCGGATTACCTCTCAGCTATTGGCCCGTATCCGTGACCGCTGCCGCTCACGTCATTAACGGGTGTCCAAGGTCCACAAATGAATGGCATATTCCGAATCGACTGTTACCAAAACGTCCGAAAGATCGAGCCATCATCTGGGATGAACCCCCCTTTGGATGCCTAGGATACGTAAGAAAACACTCAATACCTGCTGGCGAGAAGAATACACCCCGTGGTGAGGAGTGTATTTTCGTTGGTCTTTCGAAATGTAGACGGGCCTTCCGATGCCTACTCATTGAGAATGATCAACCAACCACGACCATCATTGAATCACACCAGGCAGTTTTCTACGCCAACAAGTTTCCACTTGCAAACCGGAAACTCGAGGTGGACGAGGATCCTCGTCATCACCATTTCATGAGTCAGAGCCACTCTCTACACTTCATGGGGGAATATGAAGATGAGATTGTCTCTGTGCCAAGTCCAGGAACTCCAGTTGACTCAGAACCCGAAGTTGTTAGGTCTGACCCCGGTGAGACGTCGCCGACGGTCACAGAACAAGAGACTAGAGCCAGGACACCATCCGAGGATTTTACCTCCCCGCTCTGGGCGATAGAGAGGGAGGATGTTTCCCTCGCTGATGAAGATGATCCAATACGAGACATGTGTACTGATAGCGACATCCTGAGCCATCCCAATGCTGAACAGCAAGAGGATCGCGACCCTCCGATTGATGACAGTCAACACAATCAACGGAGACTGAGTCGCATTGCTCTGAAGAACCGACACAACTACAAGGATCTAAATAGTGGACGTATATCCAAGACGGCCTCAGCGGTGAGAGAGGGAATACTTATGCACATACGACACATTCAATCGCCATCCTCAGTTACTTATCCTGAGTATCCAGTGTCTAGTGAAACCACCGCTTTCTGCCTCTTTATGGAAACGATCCAGTGGAGTACTAAATCATTGAACGTCAAGATTCACAACTTGAACGTGAGCTATCTACCAGAAACTTATCAGGATGCTACTACAGGAGTTGACCGTTTGAAGTGGGAAGCTGCCATTGAGGTAGAAATCAAGGCCCTAAAGGAGAAAGAAACATTCGAAGAAGTCGACCTCCCGAAAGGACGGAAAGCAATCAAGTACAAATGGGTCTTTTCTATCAAAGACAACGAACTCTACAAAGCCCGACTTGTTGCAAAAGGATTCTCGCAGATCCTAGGTCTTGACTATACTGACACTTTCTCCCCGGTGGCAAAGTACGAATCTGTCAAGCTTGCACTTAGTCTTGCAGCCAGATACGGCATGACCGTACATCAAATAGATGTCAAGACAGCCTTTCTCAATGGGCAACTTGATCTGGACTTGTACCTTACCATTCCGGAAGGATTTCGAACCGAACAAAACAAAGGCAAAGTCTTCAAACTTAAAGGCGCTCTATACGGACTAAAGCAAGCTCCTTTGATCTGGAATACACAAATCGATAAGACTCTTAGAGAACTTGAGTTTGCACCTTTGAAGAAGGAACCATGTCTTTATCGAAAGAGAGTTAATGGAACATTAGTACTCATTGTACTTTATGTTGATGACATGTTGGTAATGAGCTCAGATCCACAGCTTGTGGAATCGGTGAAAGAGGCCATTGGCCTGCGCTACACAATCAAAGATTTGGGGGATGCTAAGAAGTTTCTTGGAGTCAACATAAGTCAAACCAGTGATGACATTACGATCCACTTGACAGACTATGTTCGTGAAATGGTCGACACACATCTCCAAGAGAAGGACCGTCCAGTTGATAATCCGTGCTTCTCGGACTGGTCTGAACGACTCGCACCTTCACTCGCCGACAAGCCTTACCACGATCCAGAGACGTACAGAAAGATTATTGGAAAGCTCTTATTCGCAAGTACCACTGTGAGGTACGATATTGCCTTCATTACATCTGCTTTAGCCAGATACTCCTCAAGGCCCACAGTCAAGCACTGGAACTTCATCTTGAGGGTTCTTAGGTATTTGAAGGGAACAGCGGACTTCACAGTAAGGTACAAGAGGCATAACCAACCCTCTTCTGAATCGTTAAACGTACAAGCATACTGTGATGCAGACTGGGCAAACGACAAAGAGACTTTCAAATCAGTCTCGGGGATGCTCTTCCTTCTAGAAGGCTCCCCAATTATGTGGAAGTCCAAGAAACAAGGTCCTGTGGCACTATCATCTACTGAAGCTGAATTCTACGCTCTCAGTGAGTGCACCAGAAACGCCCTATGGCTTAAGCACCTTCTAATGGATCTCAAGCTCTGGAACAAGCTGTCCTCGATCCCTATGTACGTGGACAATCAGGCATGCATTAACATTGCTGAGAAGGACAACTTTAGTTCTGAAAGAACCAAACACATATCAGTTCGCCTTAGTTATGTACACGACGAAATCAAGAAGCAAAATGTGAGAATCATCAAGGTACCGACTGCAGATAACTTCGCGGATCAACTCACAAAGGGTTTGGCAACATCTCTCTTCACCAGGCTCAGATCCCTCCAAACCACTGCAGCAGCAACGCTGTAGTCGAGCCGGCATCGACTAAGAGAGGGTGTTGGATACTGCATGTATCTAAGGTAGTCTCATACCGAGGCTCTTCCTCATGCCAAGAGCGTTGGATCAATGTTCCTAATCTTCTGGATATATATGAGAGCGCATAGCCACGCTTCCTCTCAATGATACAAGTTACTTTCTTCCTCAGTACATAGCTTAGTCCTGGAATACTACAGTTAACTCTCTAGCATGAGTCTGGGAACTCCTATGTACAGTTTGCTTCCTGCAGGCAAACCAGTTTCCTTTCAATGTATGGTGTGCACGTGACCGTATCGCTAACTTGAGAAAGGTCGAAAAAACACCTTCAACAGATTTGAAATAAGTGCACCATGTCTGACGAGGAAAGATCCAATTTGAGCGGGGAAGAAGAAGTTGATGATTTGTTTGGTGATGATGCTGAGGAAGAGACCACGCAAACCAGACCAGTCACGCATTCTGACGATGAAGATGACTCGAGTTCAGAAACCGAGACGAAATCGTTAAAAACATCCACTTTAACGTTGCCCAGGCATCCTGTTTCACATAAACCCGAAGGCGATGTTTTCGCCATCAAAATCCCTGTTTTTTTGAATGTCGAGGCCCATCCATTTGATCCTACTGAGTTCAAAGAGAGAGTGGCTAGAAACGCTGAAGAAAGAAGCAAGATGGAAATGGACGCCAAGCAGATGCAGAACGACGTGGTGGCAGAAAAGCTCCTTAATGAAAACACCATCAGATGGAGGTACCTGAACGCCGGTAATGACGAGATTATCAAGCAGTCCAACGCACACTTTGTCGAGTGGGACGATGGTCTGGTTTCTTTGAAGGTTGGAAACGAGCTTTTCGACTTCAAGAGTCAGCCTATTCTCGATAACTTCTTGGCCAGATCATACGTTGAGCACGAGGTGCTACAAAACGAGGCTGCCTTGACCCGTTCTGCCAACCTTATACCGGCATCCACATTCACCGAAACACATCGTCGTTTGACGCAAGCCGTCAAGACGATCCAGAAGAAGGACAAGATTTTGAACACGTTGACCGAAAGGGACCCGATGTTGAAGCAGAGAATGGCCGACGAGAACGAGAGAAAGAACCTCAAGGCCAAGAGACAGTTGGAGCAGAAACGTCGTTTGCAAGAGGAGCGGTTGGGCAAGTCCGACAGCCCTGCGCCGCGTTATGGCCAGGAGTCTGCGTATGAGCGTTTTGAGAGGGCCTACGGAGCCGACGAGTACGATGACGAGGATGATTTCGTGGCCAACGACGATGAGGAGTTGGAGATTGACGATGAGGAAGCTGAGGCCGAGGAGGAGGAGTTTGAGAGAGGCGCTGAGCGTTTGAAGAACTTGAAGGACGAGGGAGCGTCGAAGTATAGAGACGAGGAGGAGGTTCTGCGGAAGCGCAGAAGAATCATTGATTCTGACGATGAGGAGTAACCAATTTGGTGATGCAGTTTCGGGCCAATTCGGGACGACCTCAACGCTCCTAATCGTCAGTTGCTCGGCTTAGGGATGGTTGGCGATAGAACGGCTGGATTGGCTTTCTGAAATACTACTGAGGGTGCCTGTCTCGAGGTATTTCCTCGGAATTTCCCCTTTCGATGCCCTCAATTGCTCTGTCGATCTCGGGAGAATTGGTCCACATTGGCCAGCTGCACGTCTCTTGGATTGCTTTCAAGGAAAATAGAGTCGGGCTGAAAGACGCAGCCGCCTCACATTGTACTATAGAAGAGGAGCCCGGACGGCTCCCTGGACCCTGGCGCAAAGCAACAGTACCCCAGCTTGGACTATTTTTCGGTCTGCATTAGGCAGGCTGTCACAGGCGACATGGACTAAATCAGGTCTCGGAATTGCGACAGCAAGTGAGTATATACAGCAAAGCAAGACGGGTCTCCATGACATAAAAGCACAGATTTTCCATTTTCTTTCTTCTTCTCCAAATTTGCCTTTTACGTGAACCTTCTTCCTCACTTCCTTTATCACAGGCCGGTTCGCGGTGGATGCAAATCACAACCTACTACTATTAATCCCACACTACAATGGTCCTAGCAAGACAGCTCAGACTCCTCCTTCTTGGAGCACCTGGTGCCGGAAAAGGCACCCAGACGTCCAGATTAGTGAAAGCTTTTCCCACTTTAAATGCCCTTTCCTCGGGAGATATCCTTAGAGCCGAGGTTGCTAGAGGTACACCTTTGGGACTGCAAGCCTCCAAGTTGATCGAGGAAGGAAAGCTTGTTCCCGACGACACGATGGTCGGAGTCATCAAGAACCATTTGTTGGCCAACGATTGGCTCAATGGCGACGCCCTGTGGTTATTGGACGGGTTCCCTAGAACGGGCAACCAAGCCAGAGACTTGGACAAGGTGTTGAAGGAGAACAGAGCCGACATCAACTTGGTCGTGGAGTTGGAGGTTGACCAGAAGAGCATATTGGAGAGGGTGGAGGCCCGCTGGATTCACCCTGCTTCAGGCAGAGTGTACAACTTGGACTACAATCCTCCCAAAGAGCCATATAAGGATGACGAGACGGGCGAGAAGTTGGAAAAGCGCAAGGACGACACCAAGGAGGTGTTTGGAAAGCGGTTGGACAAGTACAACGAGGAGATCCTGACGCTCCGGGAGTACTACCAGAAGAAGGGCATCTGGCACGGGGTTGCGGGCGAGACGAGCGACATTATATTCCCCAAGATCAAGGATTTGATTTTGAAGAAGTTCGACAGGCCGTAGGGGGACAGGAGGTGATTTAAGGGGGACGGGGGCGGGTTGGCAGGTTGGCATAGAACGCTGAATTCCTCCTTTGGCTTGAATGGGCCTACAGGAGTGTTTTGAGAAGTGGCCCAACAGTCAATTGCCGAAGATCCAAGTCTTGAGGTCGAAGGTCGGCTTTGTCGACCGTGGAGTGTCATCGACGGAGTGTCATCGACGGAGTGACATTGACCTCGCAATAGGGTAGTACCTCTATCACCCTCGTCCCTCAATCATAGCGATTCAATTGCACGTTATTTGGGATTGGCATCGTCTGAATACGTCGTAAGCCGCCTGAACTCATCGTATCCGCAAGATCGTCAAATGACCAAGTCTATACATTGAATGGACAAGCACTCAATTGGACAAGCATCCAGAAGTGGTTGTAGCTCTCAATCTGGCACTACTCTCATTCCCTATCCAAAGAGATTCTTCAATTATCGAAACTTGACGTCACTTTCAAAAACTCTAGACCACACGATCTGTCGATCGCTTTCTGTGTACACTGTAACACCACCTGATGGAAGCATTCGCAGCCATACAAACTCCGAGCCCGAGCCTTATTTCACCTCCAGCCCAGACCGTAAGCCATTGACCTATGTAATTTGAAGTAATTGAAATCAACTTACTGAGTATTCTGAAAATCAATAGATTTTAATAATTCCCAAAAAACCACCGTCTTTGGTGTGTTCCTGAGAACTACTTCTACTGCAGCAATGCTTATCTAGTGCAGACCAAGCTATGACATCAACAACGACAACACCAAACAACAAACAGCCAAAAGCCCCATAACTATTGATTCCGTGTGCGATTCAAATTCACTTATCACCCTAATTACGTCCTTTGTCCATCTTTAAAAAAGCCTTAACCACCACCCTACCCTCCATCCACCATTCCAGCCTATCAAAGCACAACCACTATCGGGCTATCCCTAGCTGCAAATAGAAACCGCAATAATTAAGGCCCCACCAAAGCCACATTGTAAATAGTGTTCCCCTCTTGCAGGCGAGGTGCCCGTTTGGGAATCCCCAACTTCCTTCACACAGCAGCAGGGTATAAGTAGCCCCGGATCTGGCTGTTTTTTGAAACAACCGCTTTATTTTTTATTTTTTGTAGATGCCCCTCAGCAAAGCTGTCAAACTCGCCAAACCGGCCCGGATCGTGCTCCTCGGTGCTCCCGGAGCCGGTAAAACTACACAATGTGCCCGGATCCAAGACTCCTTCCTCAATGTCTCGTCGCTTTCTCTGAAGCACATCTTCAGAACAGAAATCGCCAGAGGGCTGCCTTTCAGCTCCTCGGTCAAGAAGCTCATGGAAACAGGCTCCCTTATCCCCGACGACGTCACCATGTGCTTGGTCCAGAACTTCTTGTACGAGCACAACTGGTTCAACACGGCGTCCAACTGGGTCATGCACGGCTTGCCCCGGACCAAGGCCCAGGCAGTCGCTTTGGACAGAATTCTCGACGGCAACAAGGCCGGCGTCACCATGGCCATTGAGTTGAACGTGGACCAGAAGTTGATCTTGGACCGTGTAGAGAAGAGGTGGGTGCATCCGCCCTCTGGCAAGGTATACAATTTGGAGTACGATCCGCCGGAGGTGCCTTACAAAGACGATGCCACAGGAGAGCCATTGATCAAGCGGGAGGACGACGAGGCCGTGTTGTTGCAGCTGCGTTTGGACCAGTACAACAAGGAGATTGAGGAGATCCGGTCCTACTACCAGAGAAGAGGCGTGTGGCACGAGGTGGGCGGGAAGAGCAGCGACATAATCTTCCCGCAGATCAAGGAGCTTTTGGTGAAGAAGTTTGGCCAGGCATAGGTTGGTGGAGATTGCCAGGCGCTACGGCACGTTACGTCACGTCACGACGACCACGAATATACGATTTACGACTGTGAGTGTAGAGGCCATCGATAGGTGGGAGTTGAAGGTGTTGGTTGGCTTGATTGGATCAATGGTCAATTGGTGAGTATGGAGGATGTCAAGTTAGTCGAATGTCTAAGTCGAATCACTTAGTCGAATGTGTCGAATGTCTTAGTCGATTGATGAAAGACTTGTTTAACGACGGCTCCTTCAAAATCCTTCGCAAATTGTTGAGTCTATCAAATTGTGAGGTTACCCTACTAACTAAATGGCATGTAGCAATGCCTACTGGTTTTGAGCATCACTACAGATTGCTGTAATACAAAGCAACCTGCCATGTCCTATCCAAAAACACATACAACAAAGCGGATTCAAAAATCTCCCCATCAACCAATTAGACATTTCTATCAATTTCGTAGAACAGCTTCCCTCTCATCGATGCTAATACTCACCACTCGGTGTCTCACTACTGCAGCGATTTCGCAGCCACTAGCATCACCGCCTTTAGTCACCCCGCCATCTGCTGAAAAATCTCCGAACTCCGAAGAAATTTCAAAAAAAAAGCCCATTTTCATAAACCACTCTCGATTTGTCATCCATTCAAACCTCACGCCCCCCTCTTTGCCTCCCCACTTTGTGCAACTGTGTGGTCCTACACATCGCGATATCGCAAGCTAACTACACCCTAGTACTTCTTCCCAAGTCATGAAATTCTACATCGACGACTTGCCGGTGCTCTTCCCGTACCCGAGAATCTACCCGGAGCAGTATGCGTATATGAGCGACATTAAGAAAACGCTTGATGTCGGTGGCAACTGTATCCTAGAGATGCCTTCGGGAACAGGCAAGACGGTGTCGTTGCTTTCGCTTACGGTGGCGTACCAGATGCATTACCCAGAACACAGAAAGATCGTGTACTGTTCTCGTACAATGTCGGAGATCGAAAAGGCCCTTATCGAGCTTCAGAAGCTTATGGACTACAGGTCCAGTGAACTAGGGTATGTGGAGGACTTCAGAGGATTGGGGCTTACGTCGAGAAAGAACTTGTGTTTGCATCCGGAGGTCCGTCAGGAGAGAAAGGGCGCTGTTGTTGATGAGAAATGCAGAAGACTCACCAACGGCCAGCTCAAGCTGAAACTCGAATCGGAGGGTGTGTCTCAGGAACAGATGATCCAGACTCCTAACCAGCTAGGGCTCTGCTCGTACCACGAGAAGTTGAACGACTTTGACCAGCACGACCTCTTGCCCCAGGGCGTGTACTCCTTTGAGTCGTTGCTTGAGTACTGCAAGAAAGAAGGCACTTGTCCGTACTTCACCGTCAGAAGAATGATATCCTTCTGTAACGTCATTATTTATTCCTATCATTACTTGTTGGATCCGAAGATCGCAGAAAGAGTGTCCAAGGAGCTCTCCAGAGATAGTATTATCATCTTTGACGAGGCTCACAACATCGATAACGTCTGTATCGAGTCGCTATCGCTATATTTGACTGACGACACGATGAAGCGAGCGTCACGAGGAGCCAATAAGCTTGCCGATGCCGTGGACGAGATGAAGGCACAGGATTCGGAGAAACTCCAAAACGAGTACGAAAAGCTCGTGGAGGGGCTAAGGCAGAATGAGATTGCAAGAGAAGAGGACCTCTTCATGGCCAACCCCGTGCTACCCAAAGATCTCTTGGACGAGGCCATTCCGGGAAATATCAGAAAAGCCGAGCATTTCATCTCCTTCTTGAAACGGTTCATCGAATACTTGAAGACAAGAATGAAGGTTCTCCATGTCATCAGTGAAACGCCCGTTTCGTTTCTCCAGCACTTGAAGGAACTCACCTTCATCGACCGAAAACCATTGCGCTTCTGTTCGGAACGTTTATCGCTTTTGGTCAGAACACTAGAACTTGCCGATGTCGAGGACCTCAATGCATTGAAGGACATTGCGACGTTTGCAACGTTGGTTTCCACATATGAAACCGGTTTCCAGCTTATTCTCGAGCCCTTCGAGACCGAGGGGTCCCAGGTTCCTAATCCCATTTTGCATTTCACCTGTTTGGACGCCTCCATTGCTATCAAGCCCGTCTTCGACAGGTTTTCATCCGTCATCATCACCTCGGGAACAATCTCGCCCTTGGATATGTACCCCAAGATGATGAACTTCCAGACGGTCATTCAAGAGTCATACACCATGACCTTGGCCAGGCGGTCGTTCTTGCCCATGATCGTCACCAAGGGCTCAGACCAGGTGTCTATTTCGTCCCGATTCGAGATCAGAAACGATCCCTCGGTGGTTCGTAACTACGGCTCGTTGCTTATAGAGTTCTCCAAAATCACTCCCGATGGTATGGTTGTTTTCTTCCCATCATATCTCTATATGGAGTCGATCATCTCGATGTGGCAGAGCATGGGCGTGCTTGATGAAGTGTGGAAGTACAAGTTGATCTTGGTGGAGACGCCTGATGCGCAGGAGACGTCGTTGGCGTTGGAGACATACAGAAAAGCGTGCTCCAACGGAAGAGGTGCAGTGCTTCTCTCGGTGGCTCGTGGTAAAGTTTCTGAAGGTATCGATTTTGATCATCATTACGGAAGAACCGTCCTCATGATTGGTATTCCTTTCCAGTACACCGAGTCGAGAATCTTGAAAGCCCGTCTTGAGTTCATGAGAGACCACTTCCAGATCAAGGAGAATGACTTCCTTTCTTTCGATGCCATGCGACACGCTGCCCAGTGTTTGGGACGAGTCCTTCGTGGTAAAGACGACTACGGAATCATGGTTCTAGCAGACAGAAGATTCGCCAGAAAGAAGAACCAACTTCCCAAATGGATTGCCCAGGCACTTTACGACTCAGACACAAACCTCTCTACAGATATGGCGCTCGCCAACGCCAAGAAGTTCTTGAGATCGTTGGCACAACCCACTAATCCCAAAGACTCTGAAGGTGTATCAGTGTGGGACCTCCAGCAGTTGGAGGAGCACCAGAGACAGCAGCAAAAGAAGATGGACAAGAGAATTGAGGACGACGTTGACGTCGAGGACAAAGGAGAAGACGATTTCATGGACTTGGACGACGCCGACCTCGAGCTTCTCTAGAGGCTGCAAATTACCTGCATACGTAACGAAGATATCAACATGGTACCTCAGAAGTAGTAGTAGCACCAGGCCGTCATGGCCAACGAATACTATGCTGTGATTTTAGAGATATCGGCCCAAGAAATCAATATTGGTTTTGCCGGAGAAGCCGCTCCCTCAATTTCAATACGGCCCGGCCTGCCGATCTGGAATCGCTACCAACCACCATGTAAAGAGACATATCCACGCTACTTCCAGCTTCAATCCCATTCCATAACTCAAGAACAAAAGGAGGAGATTCTCCTTTCATTGAAAGACGATAATGAATCACATCGGTCGCTCAATGCGTACCAGGAAGCTCAGCGTAAAGGGGAGTTCGCTTTCTGGGAACAGGATGGATACGAATCCCTAAGTCGCCTTTTGAAGCACATTGTCACAAAACAGCTCATGGTTACTCCTCGGTACGTCAAGATCATGATCCTAGACGACGACAGTTCGGCGTTGGATAAGTTCCAGCTATGCAGTGCTCTACTAGGGCCCCTAGGGTGTGCTACTTCTGTGTTCTTCATACCGCGTGCTCCGTGTATATCTATGGCCGCCAGCGTGGAGGATTCACTTGTTGTTGATTTCGGCTGGCTGGAGTGTCGTGTGAGTGCACTTAGTGAACTTAGGGTTGTGAAACATACGGTCACTGAGACCTACTCGGAAGAGACGATCCGTTTTAAGGGAGCTGAGAGCGACAATAATGCTGAAAACGCCGCTTCAAAGGACTTTGCAAAGTTCGCTGGTTTGCCGAAGTTGTTGGCAAAGCTGGTCGGGGAATTAGCTGTAGATGTGAGACCCCAGGTTCTCCAAAACCTTGTGTTCTTTGGCGACATCGCCAGCATCGATCTCCAGAGACACGTTGTGAAAGAAACGCAAAAAGAGTTCCCCAAACTCACCGTCTCCGGAAAGTACTGCCTCGGAGCTTGGGCTGGTGCATCGATCTACTGCTCTACGTCGTTTCTCAAACATGACATGAACGCATTGAGACACAAGGAAGTGACTATGGAGAAGCTCCGCACGGGGAAGTGGAAGGACGTCTTCTTGGGAAGCTAGAGCTCCTCGTCGTGCGTGTACTTTGCCCAGTAGTACTTTCTGTGGTACTCTAGCTCAGACAAACCGATGGTCCATTCTTTCAAGCGGCTTCTCCAGGAGCTCTTTTCCGCTTTAATCACCGGACCGCTTGCCGTACGAGTGACCCGCTCGAAATCCTCGCTCAAGACGTGCAACAAGACATTCTCGTCGGTCCGGTTATTCGGATTTAAGTCCCAGCATCCAGCCATTGGACCTGCGGACTGTGCCATAGTGGCACCCGCCTGTGGGAGTAAGCAGGTGAAATCAAGCGGAGCGGAGTTTGGAAGCAAAGGCTCTGTCATGTGTGGTTCTACTGCTGATGGAGTTATTTGAATGTGAGGAATCTCCGGAGAGAAGATCTGGGTGGAAAGAGGGGAAGATCCCGCCGGCGACGGTGGATTCAGAAAACTCTTCAAACTCTGAAGCTCAATGCCATAATCGGCCTCGTCGTTGTTCTTGAACGGTTCGGTGATACCTGGCGAACTCAGCCGTCCTTCGGCAGAGTAGTATTTCGGGTTGAGCGTGGCCGGCGGATCCAACCATTCAGATCTCGGCGAAGGAACCACCCACGATCCGGGAAAACTGGGACGATCACTTGAAGAAAAAAGAGACATTACTGTGCTTGTGGAAATGGTTGCAAAAAGCGCCGATATAGCAAGCCCGTGGTCACGTGGTCTCGGTTCTGCAGCGGCACTGGGTAGCCGTCACTCCTAAGTGCGAAGAAAAAACCACTATCGCCTCCACCCCAACAACAACCCGTCCAATTACACAATGTCGTGGGGAGGATTCAAAAAAGCAATTAACAGAGCCGGTGGTGCCGTCATGGTCAAGGATGTCGACAAGACCATCGACAAGGATTTTGACATGGAGGAGAGAAGATACAAGGTGCTCAAGACGGCAGGCCAAAACTTACAGAAGGCTTCCAAGGGTTACTTGGACTCGCTTAGAGCCGTCACCGCATCGCAAGTCACGATTGCGGAAATCGTGCTGAACTTGTATGAGGAGGCCCGTCAGGGTGGATCCGTGTACTCCAACGTGGGTCAGTATTACATGCAATGTGTGAGGGAGCTAGACGAGGAGACGGTGAAGCAGGTGGACGGACCTTTCCGAGAAACCATTTTGGACCCCGTGACCAAGTTTGCCAGCTACTTCAACGAGATTGACGAAGCCATCAAGAAGAGAGCGCACAAGAAGACGGACTACGACCAGTGCAAAGCCAAGGTGAGGCGTTTAATCGACAAGCCAGCAAAGGATGCCGCCAAATTGCCCCGTGCCGAAAAGGAATTGGCCATGGCAAAGGATATCTACGACGACTTGAACGAGCAGTTGAAGAGCGAATTGCCTCAGCTCATTGCCTTGAGAGTGCCATTCTACGACCCCTCGTTCGAGAGTTTGGTCAAGATTCAATTACGTTTCTGTACCGAGGGCTACTCGCGGTTGGCTCAGTTGCAGCAGTACTTGGACCAGGCGTCCAGAGACGACTACGCCAACGGTGTGTTGGACGGCAAGATCGACGACATGTTGCTACAGATGAACTCCTTGAGTATTACCAGCTTGGGGCAGAAGTAGGGCCGCCCGCCCATTGCATTACCGGACCAAGCTGTGTGTCCTATCATAATTAGATGTATAACTAATGACAGTGTTAAGAAGTGTGTTGTAAGTGGCAGAGTGAGGATTTATTGAAAGTGAGTGATTTCACGATATGCTGACAAATTGTTCTTTGGCTCGTATATCTGTGAGTGATACGGCTTTTAGGCGTTAAGCCATGCTGTCAGTGTATCGCACGAAGTCAAAGCTTAAGTAACACCCTGGCCACTTAAAGAGCTGTAACTCTTTGATGACGATTTTCAATGATAGAGGCTTGTTATCGTGTTGTAAAATAGAGATTTCATGGAGTTTTGGATTTTTATTGATGGATGCAAATTTCAAGTCTATAGTGAATATGGCTGAGCGTTGCGAAATGTAAGTGCGGTTTCGATTGAGCCACAGAACATAAACTGATATACTTTTCAAATGTTACTTGATCAAAACAAACTGAGTTGAACAGGCTGGATTGAAATAAACCTTACGACTACTTGGGTAAAAAGAGCACTTTTTGGTACTTAGAGCGTTCCGTGTAACTGCATTCACAACATGTATCATACGCTATTTGGGCTATATAGATTCCAAGAACCCTCTCTCTTTTCTTTCTTCACTTTTGAATGAGCAGCTTTGCAATTGGTATTTCAAAAGAAGGTTCACCCTCTTAGTGCACTTTCAGTTGGTTCTCTAGTATTCTGGGTGAATGTGCAGCGCCACAAATGAAAACCATCTCATATCATCGTTACCCAAAGCCGTCAAAGCTTCTTTCCAAAGATCCATTTCATCCATCCCAGCAAGCTGTTCTACTCTCTTTTCCCAATAAAGATCGTTGCGTGATTCCTCATACACCAACCAAAAATATATCAACAAGTGGTAAAGACCTGTAATTAGGAAATACCATTCGCATGCCTTGCAAACCCTGTAGAGATTGCGAATAGTAAATGCCCTATTGCAAAGCGTCTTAACAGTGGAAAACGGTCTTCTTTCTGACCAATGCGGTCTAACTTCTAATACTTCCGCATGTTCGATTTCCATATTAACCGATGTTGATGAGCCTTGTCTCAAAGGAACTAGGTTAGTTTCTTCATGAGATCCTAGTTGAGCTTGGCTGGTTGAGCCAGACTCGTTGCGTTCGATGTGCTCGATTTCGGCTCTTTGGTTGAATCCGTCTATCATTTGCTCAGAAGTCATATTGGATAAGATTAGAGGAATCAGGGTGATGGGATGGGAAAAAAAAATTAAAGAAACAGGAGTATGGAGGGGATTCGGGGAAATAAATACCTTACAGTCCACGACGCCTCACTTGTTTCAGCCGCTTAAGGCCTACATCCTATTTTGGGAGCATACACTGAAACAAGACCAAACTCCCATCAAGATGAAACAGGCACTTGTAAAAGAATTGCCATTTTGTTCTGTCGTCTAGGGTATCTTTCATTCCAGATCTTTACTAGGTCTTTAGCAGCCATTTCTCGTCCTCTTTAATCTGATTATACGGTAGAAAGAGTTGCTTATATTGAATTCACTATGGCAATATCATACAAGCCATTGAAATGGCTCTCTGCCGGTTCCCAGTAGCAAGAGCACCAACTTCATGATACGTGGAGTAACAGAGCTGACTATTCTAGATGCAACATCTAAACTAGAAATCGCAAGCAACACAATACTAATACGGCTAAGACTAATACGGCTAAAAAGGCTCAAATGATAAGCCGTAAATGGCAAGAACATTAGTTTGAAGATCTTTGCACTGTCACGTTGATAATCCTCCCAAGATTTCTTTTTGTATACTGCCCGGCAGAGGGTGAAGTATTGTGTGAGTATCTGTACCAGATTGACGTGTGGCTCTAACTCACAATGGACCTTCAGAACGATTGGACAGGTTCCATTCTCGACATCTTTGTTCTGTTTCCTAGATTCCTCCCAAGCTGGGAAGCAAGCTGGGACGTAGAACTTGAACTCTTGAATATAGCCCTTAAAGAACCTCTCACTGTAGTTCTCACAAGTATCAAGACTTTGACGTGTTTCCAACGAAAGATAATTACTGTATTTGCAGCTGAGCTGCCTTGGGAAGTTCCGCTGATAGCTATCTATGTCATCAAAGATTCTTTCAACTCCAGGATGTGGCTTTGCCTCCACTCTCATTGTGAACAATTGAAGCACATAGAACAGCATCAATATTGCGCTGGCGGCAAAAATACAGAATTCTGTCTTTGGTGATAACAAAGAATTTGGTGTTATTTCCTGAGTATTCTTTTCTTTTTGACGATTGTTAGCTCCACGCATTGAGACTCAGATTCTTTCAAGGTAGAATGATGGCGGGGCAGATGCGACTGATGCGCTTGTGGAGGGTCCAGAGAGTTGATCGCCAAAATTGATTGGTGAACCTTTTTTTCTAAACTGAAGACAAAAGGGGGAAATAACCGATACTTAAATAGGGTCCGCTTATGCAGCCCGAGGCTAGGGTGCGGCTCGGGATCTACACTTGAAACTGACGAAGGGGGAAGAAAAGCTTACAATAATCCTTGAAGTTGTTTCAATTCCGTGTCAGATTATGTGAATTGTGTAACCTCCCTTTTGAACGCCGAGGAGCCCTACCTCTATTTACTCCGGCCCTACTTTACTTACTCTAAGTCGAGATATTCTTATCGATTGATGATTCAAGAATTTGAAATCCTTTATTGAAAGAAATGTAGCTGTCGAAGAATGCCCCATAAACTCCCGAAAAAATATAATTTCAATTGAAACATGCATTTATATCGGCCAAACTCGAGATCTAGTACCAGAGACCCCAAACATCTGTATACACTTCTCTGACGCAAGGTCTTCTTGACTGTCCTTCCCCTTTCAAGATTATGTAGATTATTTTTATCTGCAAAATATGTGCTGTGGTATATTAATGAAATTTGAGCCGAGATGATAAAAGCTAGGTTTAATCAACATTTAAATAGTTCCTTTAGCTACCCGATTGAGGTGGATCCTTATGCATGTAGCCGCAGCCCTTGCATGGAAGAAACCTCCTATATCTTCCTCAATACAATTCATATACTCTCGAGAAGAACAAATCACAGTATTTTCAGCTATACCCTTCGAGATATTATTTTATAGTTCACTAAGTTCCAGCCCCCCTTATCAAGTAACCAATTCTAAGCTGCAAACATCCATGCAACCGAATTCTGAAACAAACACCCAAGCCAATACATGCAAGACTGTTCGAGGTCGGCAACAGTGTTTACGGTCAGTGAAGCCCTTCAGGCTGCTATTTTGGGAATTTGTGATTTCACTTACGCTCCTTACGAGTCAAGAGGAGTAGCATCGTAACCGTACCTTCTTGACATCATAGGTACAGACAGTATGGGGAAATGTGGTTTTAGACGGTCATCAGATCATATAACTGCTTACAAATACCCGTATTCATTGATTCAAATCGAGACAGAGATGTATAGGAATCATGTAGGCCAATTCCTTGGAAGTGTGTGCTATGGTTAGTGTGAGATAACCAGTTGACACACCAGATACCGATCCGATTTTCGAGGCACCCGAAGAAGATGGAGAGTCAATTGCTGACAATGAAATTAAAATACAATTATATGCCAATAGAGTACCAAATGGCTCAATCCAGAGTATCAGACCCACTAAATGATAAGGGAGGTACGGGTCTAGAAATGGCACCGGAGTTCGAGATTGAGCTCACCGCAGTGATTGAAAGTAATAGATGGCTGCTTTTCTACCCCCAAAACTTTCCAAAATACTCTGAACCAAGTGAATTCAATACTTTAAGAGGTTTTACACATGCTGGTAACTTCAGTTAGAACATTTTCCCAATCCTGCTCCCTTGAGCCGCCAAAATACCTCACACCTAAATCCCCCAATATCTCGCCAACCACTGAAAAATATTAAATTCTGAGGGACAATATATAAATATCCAATTTCGATTTTTTGGCCGCCTGGGGCGCGGGGGCCGTGCTGCGGCGTGGCGGGGCGGATATGGCGGGTTGTTGAATTCGAGACAGAGGGTCCTGGGGGTACCCTGGGGCAGTTGGAGCGAAAATGGAGGGTTTCGCAGTGGTGAGGTGTACGGGTTTGGTGCAGGATAGTGCTAGTGGTGAGGAAAAGGGTAGTTCATTTGGAGGTGTTGCCGGGTGGTTTTTGTGGGTTTTATTGGTTTGGGGGTCTTTTGTGGTGGCCATTATGGCGGGATGTGAGTTTGGTGGGTTTGGTGGCACTGGAAGGTGCAATTGAAGAGGTCGCAAAAGTTCCAACGGCAACAACAACGGGGTGTGAATTTGTAGAGGCTGTGTGACCAGTCTGGGGCGTAGTTTCAGGTGTCTAGTTTTTGCACCAGTAGGTCTTATGTGTTGCAGATGCCGTTTATGGTGGGTTTGACGGGGCTGAAGAAAATCCCCATAGTTAAGAAACCCTGTTACTTTGGGGGGTAAAATCGGGTTTTCAAGGGGGGACCCTTGGTTTTCGAGCACTTTTCGAAAAAAGTGAAAATCGACCTTCCGCGACTCGGAACCGAGAGCTAGGTTGGTCGGTCGGTGACACGAAGATTGGGTCGAAAAATGGGTATTCGAGGTTTTGGCACCGTTGGAAAGAGCGGGTTCGAATTTGCAGCCAGTGTGAATTGCAGGTGCTGGAATGGCCTGGTTGGGGAGATCGACGAGGGAGGGTGGGTTTCTGATTCGGTGTGTGACGGGTTGAATAGGGGTAATTGAATTATTGGTATGGGCTTGAAGCGGCGAGTCTGGGGATGTTGGGAGTGGGTTTGGAATTGTGGTAACGGCGTCTGGGAAGACAAGAGAAGGTAGAGAAGGTAGTTGATTACGTAAGCAAAATGGACAAAACGGTTGATTCCCAGTGGCATAGTAAGCTGGGAACGTAATGGGTGGTAGTTTTGGGGAGTACGGGCCACGGCGAATCGATACATATACATATTATGGCAATCTGAATCAAAAGATTTATTCGGTTCATTGGAGCTCACTTTGGGGAGTGTGTTTCTCGGTGCACAGGCATGGTGGACACTTGGAATTCACGGAGGTGGGGTTTTCCGCCTTGAATTATACGGTCGTGTTGTTTATTTGAAAAGTCATTTTTTTGGGTGGTTCGGTTGGAGGGGGTTCTCTAACCTGGAGGTTGTCAAGGTGCGCGGTTGCAAAATTGAGAAAAACGGTCGAGGAGGCCATTTTCAAAGGGGGGACCCTTTGGGCGAGGGGGTTGTGAGAAACTTCAAGTTGGTGGCAAAAACCGGGGATTGAAGTTTTTTGGACTTGGGCGAGTGCAGTAGGTAGAGGGCGTCTGGAAGTATCTTCTGCTTGAATTAGGGTGTTGTAGAGGAAGTGGTGCAGATTCAAGAAGCCATTGAGTGGTGATTTTGGGCCGAAATCTGCATTTTGTGTGATTGTTTGGGAATTAGGCATCTAGAGGAGAATCGAACATAAGGAGCGTGTTTGGGGTACCTTAAAGTGCACCTGCAATGGGCCCTTTTCTGTCTGGCACCTTCCAGTAAGAATGTCAAATCTCAAGGTTCATGGTACCCAACAACAACACCACCAAACAGCACATTACAAGCCTCAGTTGGAGAAACCACACATATGGTTCGATTCCTCTCTTTTATGCGGTTTTGGCGGTACCACTCGTGGGGCTTCCATCTCACTGGTTCCCATTTGCACCCTATTTATCGTAATTCCAAATTTCCCCAAATCGGTACCCACTTTAACGCCTTACTGCTACACACACAAAGACGGCCTGTCAAAACCAATGGTACGGTTAGTTGGGCATAATTTTTTCCTACCAAACCGTACCATTAAGGTACACTCTAACACCGCCGTTCTTATACACTTTTGAAAAGTTTCGCCGGATGCCACAAAACTACTCAATTTCTTTCCATCTAAGACGACCTACTACTCGTTATTGGCATGGTTCAACGGGAAAAAATTATGCCGATCTGGCGCGGGTACCCGCTCGGTCTAGGTCGCTCTGGTCGTAGAGCTATTTGGGTTCAAAGACGGTCCGAATTTCTGAAATTTGGTTTTGTTAACGATTTGTTACATTTTGGCACCCGTGCACCAAAACCGTCGAAATGGTTGATTTCGACCTACTTTTGGTTTTGGCGGTTATGGGTGTGGAAGAAATGGCTGCAAAAAGTGCACTTGCAGGGCGATTTCGGGGGAGCCAGTGGTACCGTTGGAATGGGCGCGGTTCAAAGATTCTGATGAGCTTCTTAGTTTGTTGGATTGACCAATGGTTGCCGCTGAAATGCCCAAAACAGGGTGTTTGTTGTGCTTTTTGAAAAACCGCCGTAGCTCCTCAGGAAGTGGTAGGTGCGGTCTGCAAAGCGGTGCAGTCGGTTCTCCTGAGTGTTAGCTTTCGATTGGTGTCTCAACGACCATTTTGTGACTAGTGAAGGTCGAGAAAAACCACTTTGAACATTTTGTTGTCTCCGGCCAAAGGGGGTCCCCTTTGGATTCTGGCGGATCGGGGCATCTTTTGATAGTGTAGGTGTGGGGTACGGGTGTTTGGGCATGAACCTCGAGGCTCCATACAAAAGGGCGGTGAAGCAGGGGTGCGCTATTTGGTGGTATGGAGAGAGTGCAGGAGTGATTTTATGAGTATAGTATGTAATTTTGACGTTGCAGATTACGATGGGCTGGTTGGATATGAGAATGTGGAAGTGTGTGGTGCTGCTATGGGCCGTTTTAGGTCAAAAATCCACGAATCTAAATGGACCAATTGGGAGGCCGGATTCTACAATTTTTTACATTTTACAACGTCATTGTGTGAATAATGTCAAGATGTTTGGCATCCTGGGGCGCGGGGGCCGTGCTGCGGCGTGGCGGGGCGGATATGGCGGGTTGTTGAATTCGAGACAGAGGGTCCTGGGGGTACCCTGGGGCAGTTGGAGCGAAAATGGAGGGTTTCGCAGTGGTGAGGTGTACGGGTTTGGTGCAGGATAGTGCTAGTGGTGAGGAAAAGGGTAGTTCATTTGGAGGTGTTGCCGGGTGGTTTTTGTGGGTTTTATTGGTTTGGGGGTCTTTTGTGGTGGCCATTATGGCGGGATGTGAGTTTGGTGGGTTTGGTGGCACTGGAAGGTGCAATTGAAGAGGTCGCAAAAGTTCCAACGGCAACAACAACGGGGTGTGAAT